GGGTTGTGGCCGATGCCATGATCGAAGAGACCCGCAATGCCGCCAAAAAGAGCAGTGGCGCATGGACACGTAGCGGGTTCCAAAGGAGAGATGTAATTCAAAAGACCGTGGGTGAAAAGGAGAGCTTGTCATCAATTCGACTTTTTTTAGGATGCAGCAAAGTGGTGAGTTGGAAAATGCTTTTGCATGCTTTTGCTGCTAGTCTTCACAGCAAACATACTAAATTTGTCTTAACCTTTCGTTAAACGAACTTAAAGTCCGCATCCCAAACTCGCTTCGATCATTTGTGAAATCAAGAAGCCTTCCTTGGCGAGAGTTTTTGGAACCCCTCTTCACATAAAGTTGTTTCAATCCTCCTGCATCCTCATCATGCAAAGTTCCTTCAGTTCGCTTTGTCAACCTTTGTTCACCACCCAGCAAAACACAAAACGCAGCACAAGTACACCAAGCTACAACAACGAAGCAAAACCACCATTTCACAACCCATTTTATTTGCCAATCCTTGCCACATTCTTGAAGCAAGCTTTCCGGGCTTACCTCCAGCTAGTTTAAAAAATGAAAACGACCTTAATTAATTTAACCTCTCTTCGAGGTCATCTCGTCTTCTCTTCGAACTTTCTTGTGACTCATGGTCTATAATCTCTTGCTGCCAAAACTCAATCTCATCAAGAAAACTCTTATCAAGTCTCCTCGCAAGCGTAAACCGTTGTCTTTAATCTAATTGTTCCAAACGTTCGCACCAAAGCTCGCTTTGCAAACGTTGTCTTCCCAAATATTCTTTTCATTGGCCTATTTCTTCGTAACTTTTTGCGAATATTGCCCCACTTCGTCCTTGCTCATGTTTTGTTGTCGGCATTCTCAAGCAGCCTTTACACAAATTCTCTTAAACACCCCACTATAATTAATAGACAAGTTGCGCTACTTGCCTCACTTGAAAAACCCGTTCAACTGCACGGGCCTACCCAGTTAGTCAAAGGTGGTTGGTCCGCGGACTGCGAGCCCTCCTCTCGCGGCAGGCATACTCACATTCATTATCATATTCAATCATGTAAGCCCTTCAACCCAACGACATAACATAACCAAAACGCGCCAAACCAGTCCACAATTTGACTTTGTCGCCCCTCCTTTGCAAAGCTTCTCCTGCCAACCTGTATGGCATGAAGATGGTTCAAACGTTTTGCGTGAAGATTCGGTTTCAAGACTTTCTGCATGAATACCGTGATGCAGAGATATTCAATAAAGGGGAATGGTCTTTGGACGCCAAACCGTTTCAATCAAATGTGGGGCGACATGTGCTTGAGACTTGAAGGTTTAATAAGTCATTTTAAGTTGGCATGAACACAGGTTCAACATTATTTTATGTGAAGATTGATTTCGGAAATGTTGGCATAAAGAGGACTGTGACGCAGAGATCTTTGAAAGACATCTGTTTCAATGAGCACCGTGGGATGAAAAGGAAAGCTTGTCAATTCAGCAGTTTCAGGATGCAAATAAGTTATTTCAAAGGTGATAAAAACGGACTGAAAGCTCCCAGAAACTTGGCATGAAGATGGGTTCAACGCTTCTTCCTGCCCAGATTGGTTTCAGGAAGCTGGGCTTAAAGAGACTTGGGATGTATAGATCTTCCTAACAAAAAGACGTTCGAAGGAACTCGGGATGCGGGATTCTGAAACAATTTTTACGATGGGCCTACTGATTGGTTTAGCGGTTATGATGCATACATGTTCCAAACAAGTCTGGGATGTGGACTTAAATTGTCAATCAAACTTGGCATAAAAACAAGTTCAATACATTTGGTGTGGAGACAGGTCTCAAGAATCTTGCCATAAAAAGGACCGTAACGCAAACATGTTGAACACATCTGGGGGCTAAAAAGAGACTTGAGAGTTTCAAGCAAACTAACATCGACAAAAGGTCCTTCAAGTGGCAACAAACAGAATCCAACGCATGCAAAAAACATCATACCTCCAAATGTGCCATACGTACATTGTACATTGCATCTTAACCTCAGTCCTTTCAATCCTTCTCCTTCACATGCTTAAAAACCCGTAACAGTTAACCCTAAGCTCCCTCCCTTCCTGCCTTCCTTTTCTTTCTTAATTATCTTTCTTCCTTCTTCTCTTCCTCTCTCCACATTTATTCCTCTCTTTATTTCTTCTTTCCTTGCCTCAATTCCTCTTGTCCTTCCCCTTTTATTTGTCCAAACAAGCGACATCTCAAGCTTCGGATCTCAACAGGTTCAACAATGCGGATATAAAGCAATGGCCGCTTTGTGTCAAAGACATGTGGATATGAATCAATTGCTGACTTGCGCAAACACAATTTGAATGTCAAACAATAGCCGCACTGCATAAAAGCCATGTCACGTGCATCAATGGCCGCTTTGTGAAAAACACAGAGATGTACACAATTGGCTGCTTTGTGTAAAAAAACAATATATAGACTATAGATGTGCATCAATTACCGCCGCTTTGTGCGAAAGCCATGTCATGTGCATCAATGGCCGCTTTGTGTAAAAGACCCAGTGGATATGATGCAATGGTCGCTTCGTGTAGAAGATCACATGGATGTGAATCTATGGCCGCTTTGCTTCAAAAACGGGTGGATGTGAATCTATAACCGATGACCGCTTTGTGTAAAGGACCATGTGGATGTGAATCAATAGCCGCTTTGAGTCCATTTGGATGTGATTCAATGGTGGCTCTGTGAAAAAGATCATGTGGATGTGAATCTCTGGCCCCTTCGTGTAAACCCATGTGGATGTACATCAATGGCCCCTTTGTGTCAAAGTTCATCTAGATGTGAATCAATGGCCGCTTTTTTTCAAAGTCAATGTGGATGTGAGTCTCTGGCCGCTTTGTGCAAAGGACTACTGAATTAGTTGTACTTTCAAACTAGACAGTCTATCTATCTATCTATCTATATATATATATATATCTTTTGTTGCAATTTAGCCAAGGACTGCGAGGCTGCGGCTAAGCTAAATTCCAAGAGCTAAAACCCCAAACCCTAAACACACCCAACAAGCAAAATTCTACTCATCCCCACACGCGGAACAAACAAAACTCTAACACCGCCACAAGCCAAACAAGCAAAACCCTAATTCCAATTTGTCCTTATCCTTTTCATTTTAATGCTCCTAACCTACTAAGAGAAAAGCAAGACCCGCACAAAACTTTGCACCTGAATCCTAGTTCTATAAACCCTTCCTTTCTTCGTGGATAGTTGGAGCATGAGTGGAAGCAAAAGGTCCCTCAAAAGAAGCAAGCATCATACCCGAACCACAAGATGATGCCGGCTTGCCTTGAGTTTGACAAAGCCGGTTAAAGGTTATGAGATGGACTTTTAATCAACCCTCGTCGTCGCAAAAGGCAATTCATCTGTCTGAATTTGGTGGCCACAGCTCTCAAAACAAGCAAGCATTATACCCGAATAGCAAGACCATGGCGGCTTACAAACTTGGGTTTGAAGCCGGTGAAAGGTTATGAGATGGACTTTCAAGCTTCGTCGTTGCAAAAGAAAATTTATCTAGCAGAATTTGGTGGCAACAGCTCTCAAAACAAGCAAACATCATACCCGAATAGCAAGACAGTGTCGGCTTACAAACTAGGGTTTGACAAAACCGGTCTTGAGGTGGACATTTAAGCTTGGTCGTCGGAACAAAAAGTGCATCTAGAAGAATCTGGTGGTAACATGTCTCTCAAAACAAGCAAACATCATACCCGAAACGCAAAACGATGTCGGCTTATAGACTTGGTTTGACAAAGTCGGTTGAAGGTTACAGGTTATGAGATGGACCTTTAAATTTCATAATCGCCAAAAAAATCATCTATAAGAATATGGTGGCAATAGATCTCTCAAAAGAAGCGTCATATCCGAGCTGCAAAACGATGTCGGCTTACAAACTTGGGTTTGACAAAGCCGGTGTTAAAGGTTCTAAGATAGACTTTTAAGTTTCATCGTTGCAACAGGAAACTCATCTATCAGAATTTGATGGCCACAGCTCTCTCAAAACAAGCAAACACGACGCCCGAACCGCAACACGATGTCTGGTCATCAACTTGGGTTTGACAAAGCTGGTTCAAACTTATGAAATGTTCATCCCAAGTCTTTTAATACACTTTTGATCCTTTTTCAGAGTCGATTAATCCCTCATCCTAAAGATATTGAACTTTGATCTTTGAACAAAGTCATGATCCCTGGTGCATTAATGTTGGGGGTACCCCAGAACATGATGATTGGCTACTAATTCTCAAGAATAACACACTGTGGTTTCATCGGCTACGCCTTTGCTGAGTACCGCGGTCCAATATGGGCTGATGGTGCCTGTATGATCTTGATTCGGCGTTTCAGCTCTTTCACACCGAAGTGAAGACCATCTATTCTTCCAGTTCTGCACTTGTCACTGGGTGACAAAACAAAAAACTCCATCTTGCAGTAAACATATCTCGTCATGGTTCTTGATGGGAAGTGGGCAACATTCAGAGTTCAGTTTCAGAGCAGGAGGAGTTTTGACCGATGATAATTTAATCAAACACCTTTATGGCCAAACACAAATGCGGATGGTGATGATGATGATGGTGATGTGATGATGATGATGGTGATGTGATGATGATGATGATGATGATAGGGGCCACTAGCGCTCAAACTCCTTGCCGTCATGGCGTGGGCTCCATGGTCCATGTTAACCTGCGCTCAAGTGCACGATCACCTGCGCTGCTGGATGTGCTTCTCTTCCTGATCTGGCCTCGTGCTCGTCGACATCTTGCGTCTGATCCTCCACTCGAGCACGTCTTCTTTAGCCCTTCTGAACTACCTGGGCTACATCTTCAGCCCCCTCCTTCAGCAAGCAACGATCAGGACTACCACAACCCACCTCCTTGTGCACTTGGGCACTCAGGACGTGCTTT